TACACTTTCTATTTTTTTCTTCTCTCCACGGTTTAGAGTCATATATATATATGTGTGTGTGTTTCATATATTTATTCATAAATATAACTCTAAACGGTGGAGAGAGATGAAGAAATTAGATCAGCTAGGGCCTTTTGGATCCAAGGAAAAGCATGGCAGAGAGTTTCTTAGGTTAGTTTATTTTTTAAAAATAAACCCAGAAATGCCAATGTTGTTATTATTAAGTGCCATAGAGTCCGTTCTGAGTTACAGCGACCCTGTATAGGGTTTCCGAAGAACAGCTGGTGGTTTGAACTGCTGGCCTATGGTTCATTGTTGTTGTTATGTGCCGTGGAGTCGGTTCTGACTCACAGCGACCCTGTACAGGGTTTCCGAGGCTATAAATCTTTACAGGAGCAGAAAGCCTCATCTTTCTCCCACGGAACAGCTGGTAGTTTTGAACCGCTGACCTTGCAGTTTGCAGCCCGATTCGTAACCACTGCGCTACCAGAGCTCTAGTGTTTATCCTACAGCACCACACCATGAATTCAATGTCAATGGGCTCAGACAACAAAAAAAAAAAAAAGTCCCAAGAAAACCGCCAAAAAGAGCACAGAAACAGGTAGCCTTGCAAGACAGAAACCTTTTACATAATAACTAGTCACAAATATGGGGAAACACTGCAGCTCCACACCCACTCTCATCAACAAAGGCAGATTTTCCTCCTGCTGGGGTATGAGACAACAGGTACCAAGATTCCTCCCTAGAACATTATCAGTGGAGACCTTGTGGACAGTAAAACCGTATCCTAAGTTGTCCCTCCCTTTCCCAGTAAGGTGGGTGTCAACAGAGGCCTCAGGTACAAGGTGGTATTCCAGGCCTACACAGCAACAAGGTGGCAAACTTCCCTTCCTCACTGACAGTGTCAGAAGAGACCTGCTAAAACTGGATCTATGTAAGACCCACAATTCTACAATGTAATAATCCAGAATACAATTATAGAAAACAACGGGAAAAAATCACCAATCAGACCAAGAATTAGGAAAATCTCAACTAGAATGAGAAAAGAAATAAAATAGCCAACAGAGAAAATAGAAAACTCGGTATGTTGAAATTACCCGACAAGTAGTTTAAAGCAGCCCTCATTGAAATCAAGTTTTATAAAATGAAGTGGAGAAAATCAATGAAGCAAAAAGCGGATTATTTGAAATCATCAATAAAACTGAAAAACTGCTAAAGAGACTAAGAAAAAAGAAAACATCTAAATTACCCAAATCAGGAATGAATGAGAAGAAAGCATCATTTAAAGATAGTAAGGGAATACAACATATAAACTCATAACACTTGAC